TCTTCCGCAAGTTTCGCCCCCATGTACGCCGTGTCAGGAAGCCCCATGCTCTTCGCCTCAAGAAGCTTGTCCGCCAGCCTCAGCTGCTCGGGAATCGCCACTCTGATCCTAGCTATGCTGGTCCGATGCTTGGGAGGCCCTATTATGAGGCCTGGATTTCCCAGTTCCTTCAGAGGCCTGTAGTTGATTGGTCCCATTATAGATTTCTTGAGAATCCCCGTCAAGTCCGATAGTCTCCAGTGTCTTGGCTCGAGAAAAGTGCGCCTCATGGGCCTTCAGCCAATCCACACAATAGTGATTGCTCAAATCCTCGTGTGACAGACTCTTGAGCCCCAAGACCTCCGTTAATTTTGTCGTTCCAAGTACCGGGTTCTGCTTGCTTCCTCAGGAACTTCCACTTTCTTCTTGTTGTTCACCATCACCACTGACGACACAACAGAGCTCTGGGGCGTAGAAGACTCCGCCTCGTCTCCCTCCATGGGTGTCGATCTTAACTGTCTGCTTCTGCTGCTAGTTGAGCTTCCTCTAGAGTCGATCTTTCCCCCCAAGCGATCAGCCACGGGCCTGGCTGAGAAGAGGAAGGTATTGGGGGTAGACCAAAGGTGAATTGACCAGTCTCCACCAGATCCGACTCAAGGAAGTTTATGTGTCTCGGGAAGACGCCGTTCAGCCACTCCGTGCCCCTAGGCTTATCGAAGTGGATGCCATCCGAGGAGGAATTCTCCAGAAGGGAATCTTCCATCATTCAATCTTCCTTTCATTCATCTCCCTCGCGTTCTGGTGTCTGCCATCATGTTGTAGGGGACGGTGCAGATGGTAAGCACTGCTGGTTCCAGATAAAAACTCAGCTCCTCAAGAATGCAACTCACTTTGTCTTGTAGCCTCATCATCTTTCTTGACTCGCCCCTGGACGCGTCCTTGGTTCCCATCATCAGTGTGACCGTGTTCATTTCCCCCATCTCCAGCATCTCTAGGGACGCCAACACTGGGGCATCCATGCACCCGAGAAACTCAAGACTCCCACTTGCCAATGGGCCCGGATCCTCGTCAATTATCGGACGAGACTGTCCCCTATAATCAAGAGCACTGTGCCTTCGAGTATTCTCGGCTGCATGAATTATTCTGCCCAAGCGGCGTCATCGAAGGCATCCCTTCTCTCTCGTTGCCCTGCCGTCCAATCCTCTCTATTATGTCGTTGATATGCGCCATCAGTTTTCTTCCTTTGGCTCGAGATCACGACACTCCTCACTGGATATTTTCTCCAGGTGGTTAGTTGTTCCTCACGATTTGAGGCCGCCATTAGCATCCGCCATCCGTTTCCCTCCGCAATCAGAATCAACATGGCATATACGAACTGCAGAGCAGGTGGCATGCCTGTGTAGCCTAGTGATGACGGGAACACCACCTTTGTTTTCGATCCCAATCGGGAAGCTACCAGTTCCTGCACCTCAGTCATTGCTGCAAACAGCGTCTAGATTGCCTCCCAGATCTTCTTTGGTGTTGGCTCCTCACTTCTCAAGTGCTCAAGTAGTCCCGCCGCGTGTAGGTGATCTTTCATTCCCGCAAATATCAATGGCTCTGACTCACACGGTGTCTCCGATTTAATTGCCACGATCAGGGCCAGCAATCTTCTATCATTCAACCTTCCTTTCATTCATCTCCCTCGCGTTCTGGTCGGCCATCATATTGTAGGGGACGGTGCAGATGGTAAGCACTGCTGGTTCCAGATAAAATCTCTGCTCCTCAAGAATGCAACTCACCGTGTCTTGTAGCCTCATAATCTTTCTTGACTCGCCCCCTGGACACGTCCTAGCATCAGTGTGACCGTGTTCATTTGCCCCATCTCCAGCATCTCTAGGGACGCCAACACCTGGGGCATCGCTGCACCAGAGAAACTCAAGACTCCTACTGTCCCCTATAATCAAGAGCACTGTGCCTTCGTGTATTCTCGGCTGCATGAAATATTCTGCCCAAGCGGCGTCATCGAAGGCATCCCTTCTCTCTCGTTGTGCTGCCGTCCAATCCTCTCGATTATGTCGGTGATATGCTCCATCAGTGTTCTTCTTGTAACTCGAGATCACGACACTCCTCACTGGAGATTCTCTCCAGGTGGTTGGTTGTTCCTCACGCGCTGCGTTCTCAAGAGCCCTTGCCTGCAACCTCTCCTGCAACTCCTTGATGTCCCCGTTCCAGTCTGACTTCCACTGGACCAGTCGACCTGGACGTCAATCCTGGCAGCGCAATGTCCATTAGTGGTCTGACTCGACTTGCCTCTAGATTCCTCATGGAGGGGACGGGCTCAGGTGGTGTCCATGCCTCCAGGCCTCGTTCATGTGTTCTTGGGTCACTATGTTCAGGTTGAAGCGGCCGCTCGATCTGGGCGCTTAGTCCGCCTCCATTCTTGACTCTGGTCTCGATCTAGTCACTACTGGCCCAGTCGTCGTCCTCTCCTTCTCCTTACCACTTGCGACTGCTTGCTGCCTTCTCTGTAGTCGTTCAATTTCTGACTTTATCTAACCGCATTTTGCCACACCTTCTTGTAGTCTCGGCTCTTGCTTCCGTTCTGGCCTCAGCGGGTCCCGGTCAAGAATCGCCCTGTCTCGTTCAAGTATCGCCTGGTCCCGGTCAAGCTTCTCTTGATCCTTATCCTGATTGGCCGTGTACCGTTCACTTTGGGCCCTTTCTAACTCCCTTTCCGTGCTGCTGATATCTGGGTATGGCTCTTCCGTTTGGTGTGATCGGAACATCGATAGTGGTTTGCTGGTGGATTGGGTCCCTGTCCCTGCTGGTGGTCTGATTGGAAGGGGAAATTCCTCCGCTCCATGCTCCGTAGTGTTACTCAAGCCAGGATTTCTAGCAAGGTCAAATCCTCTCACGCCTCCATCCACGGTCCAGGATAGCCATCTGGTCTGCTCCTGATTCGGGATTCCATCCGAGATGTAACCTACCGTTAACAGGGCTTCAGTCGCTGACTCCCTGCACTCCCCTTGCGCCTCCAGTTGCAGGATGGCATTGAGCATAACCGCGAGCCTCTCATCCACTTGCGTGTAGTCGAGGTCCCTCAAGCGCTTGTATTACTCGTCGAGTGCGGGCTTTCTGAACGCTGCTGGCACAGACTTCCAGAATCGATCTGCCATTGCTGCTTTTCTTTATCTCAAGAGATCTCACGAACCACCAAATCGAGAAGTACATTACCTAGTTAAACTCTAGAAGTACCTTTCCCAGATTAATACTCAAGAAATATCTTTCTCTGGCACCACCAACGAAGAACTGCTTGAAGTTTTCTTCTATCTCTTGATCGACCAACTGTGATTTAGTTGTCATTTCAGTTTTCAAATCAATCTGAAAATAGAATTCAGTTTTAAACCAAGATATTTCCCACTAGTGTCTAACCTAGACCTCCCCCTTTAATACCTTTAAAATATTATCTTAAAAACTCCAGAAAAATGATTCAATTTATACGTTAAAAACATTCAGATTTATCTTATGTTGTAGCACTATCAATCCTTTATAAGATTCAATTGTCATGCCAATCACATTAAAACCCATTTGACTGACTCGTGTTCCCCTTTTACCTAGCTCAAGGCACTTATGTCCCCTAACTCAAGACTCTCACGTCCATCCAAAGGTCAAGCGATACTCAAGTAATACTTCTTGTGTAGGTGTAACATTATTTCCGTTTCCGCAAAGACCACGTGTAGGATAGCGTATAATTCCCTAGGGTTCAATCTGTGCCTGTTCGGATCGTAGACCGGTATTGAAACCTCCCGTATCCCTCTTTCGACCAAGTCCCTCTTTCGAACAAGTCCCTCAACCTTGCTAGTGCCAAAACCACATGGGGTCTATCATGTTTCTCTCACTGACTCTCGTCACCAAAAAGCACAGGTATTTACCGGGAGCTTGTGAAACTGAAGGAGGAAATGCTGCCATTCCCCCAACCCTGGTCTCTGCCTGAGCAGAAACTCCAAGTTCTGGTGTTTTCTTTTGAAGTCGGCTTCCAGTCTAGTATTGAAGCTCATGTCCGCTGTTATGCAGATCGCGCTGGTCTTATCTGACAAGATGAAGTCGCTAACCGTTATCAGGATGTTCTCCAAATACTCATTTGGAATCTCGAACTTAGTCTTGAAACTTTTTCCAATGGTAGGCGCAGCCCCCTACTGATCCAGCTCCAGACCGTTGGTCTCTCTCACTTCCCTAAGCTTCTTTATCATGAAATTTTTGGTGTGGGTAAGTCCTACCCCCACTCCCCGGACAAATTTATTTATCGATGTCCCCACCGATGGTACGTGGCTCAAGTTATCCGGTGGTATTTCCAGTGGCCGGTCAGTAGCTGTCCAACCGAACAACGGGTTCTCTGTTTTCACATGTTTCTTCGCAGATACGTCGACTTGCTGGATGCTTTGCGCCTCCTTCTAGTCAGCCCCAATGTTACGCATCCTCAGGTTCGTGTTTTCCCTTCTTTCAAGCTCGCTTTGCTCTAGGTCCATTTCTCTTTCTGGCATGGTGTATTCTCGTTGCACGGAGTGCTCACTGTCGTTTATGATCTGCCATTCATCATTGGCTGCCAGCTCACCCACATTCACCAACTCTTTTCCTATCTCTTCAGCCTGTATCTTGTCGATGAAGAAGTCATCACCATACCTGTTGTATCTCATGCCTGTCTTCCTACGCCCACCTTTTCTGGTTTCTTTCGTCATTTGTAGATCTGGTTCCGTCCAATTTGGTACCTCGTTTTGCTCTGGATCATTCCAATTTTCCTCAGCGAACGACCCTTTGTCCGAATATACCTCTATTTTTTCGTTGTCATCCATGCTCACGTTCTCGTTGCCATCATTCTTCTCTTTGGTGCTTTTCTCATTCACCTCACATGCTGGTTCTACCAGTAGATACTCGAGTCCTTCCATGTTCTGTGGTACGCACCAGTCTTCCGGTGATGGGACGTGAGGTTTCAGATTTTTCTAGCGCGCCGCACGCCCTGTACTCAAGCGATAGAACCGACCCTAATGGTGCACTTCCGTTATCATAAATGGGCCTCTCCATTTCTTCAATAGCTTTTTTGTCCCTTTCGGAGGTATGATGTTCTGGAAGCATTTTTTGTCGTACTTTTTACGCTGTCTCCTCTGTGTCTGTGCTGTGTTCCTTCTGCACAGCTCGTTCAATTCCTGTTGTCTCCTGACTGCTTCCTTCAAATATGCCTGAGGCGACGTCTTTTTTCCCTCATATTCCGGATTGAAGAAGGTCAGGGGCACCACTCTCTCTCTACCTGTTAACATCATGAAAGGACTGATCCCCGTTGTCGAGTGTTGCGTGCTATTATACGCCCCTACAACCTGCGGCAGATATTTGTCCCACTCGGTCATATATTTTGAGCAAAACACCCTGAGCATAATCACTAATGTTCTGTTCTGTCTCTCCACTAATCTATTCGTTTGTGGATGGTAGCTCGTTGAATGAGCCTGTGCAATGTGGAATCTTCTCATTAGTTCTTTTGTCTGGTCCCCCACAAAGGCCTTCCCATTGACCGATTGGAATGTCATCGGACAACCATATCGTGATATCCAGTGCGTTATCAAGTGATCACAAGTTTCTTCCGCCGAGGCCGTTTGACATGGTGCCGCTTCTGCAAATTTCGTAAAATGATCTAAAATTTCCAGTATCTGGTTATATCCCGAGTCTGTCATGCAGATCTTCTGATGGTCTATCTGCACGACCTCGTTAAGTTTCGAGCTTTCCACAGACCTAAGAGGGAATTTAATCTTCCTAGGATCCTTCACCTGCAAGCAGGACAGACATGCGTTCACCCATCTTTCACAAGCCTTCCTCAACCTTGGCCAAGCAAACCGTAGTAGTATTCTTTGTTGCACCTTGTCTATCCCCTGATGTCCCATTTGGTCATGCGATCTGAACAACACTTCCGTTTGGTATAGCTGAGGTAGTATGATGAGGTTACGCATGTGTAGAGTTTTTTTCTCCGTCTTTTCTCCTACAGGCTACCACGCCATCAGCTGTGTGATAGATTAAATCCTGTGTTGAATGATCAAGTTGTAACCATCCAGCCGCAGTATCCATCTCCTGATGTAACTCTGGTCCATTGAGTACGTTTTCAACCAACTGAGTGCTCTGTTGTCGACCCGTAGCTTGAATGATTCGCTACCCATGTATGCCCTGTATTTTTCCACAAAAGTGACGACCGCAAACATCTCCGCTTTGTGTGCCCCGTACTTCATTTCCGTATCGCTCAAGACTTTGCTCCCGCAGGCAATTGGTTTCCACTCTTGTTCTTGATGGAGTATACCAGAGATCGCTGCTACCGATGCATCGCTATCCAGCTCGTACATTCCTTTTTCTGTCGGCATGCCTAGCACATGTGCTTCACACAGTTCTTTCTTTATTCTTTGATATGACACTTCTGCCGCGTTATTCCACGTGAATTTCTCGCCCTTGTACCTCATTGTCCGCATAGCCCTTGATGAACTCCCTCTAGTAATTCGCAAAACCCAAGAAGCTCAGCAACTGGTGTTTCCGTTTTTTTTTTGCAATTTCCAAGTCACTACTGCCTCTACCGCGTCCGGGTCTGGTCTAATGCCATGTTTATCTACCATTCTCCACAGGTATTTAATCGAGTCCTTAACAATCTCACACTTCGATGGCTTGCATTTCAGTCCTGCTCTCTTCATGCAAGCGAACACCTCGTTTAGTCATTCAATGTGGTCCTCCAGGGTACGGGTTGCAATCATCACGTCATCTACATAGCACAATACTAAATTGCCGTTTTTCTTCGTTTCTTCGTTGTGCCATCAGTCGTTGGAAGGTTGCTTTCGCCTTGCAAACGCCAAAGGGCGTCCTTTTCCATTGAAACATTCCCACCTCGCATGCAAAGCCCGTCTTGTCCCTGTCCTGTTTCCACCTAGTTTTGAAAGACTCTCATCTATCCTAGGTTTGGGATAGGCATCCTTCACCGTGACGGAGTTCAGATATCGAAAGTCAAAACAAAACCTAATTGGTCTACTTTCTTTATAGCCCTCACTAGTCCACAAGCCCACGGTGATTTGAATGGTTCTATCATGTCGTACTCTAGTTGGGTCTATATCTCTTTTCTACATGCATCCGATTTGTTGGGGGTCATACGCCTCGCCCCCTCCCTGTGTGGTACCGCCGACTCCTCTAGTTCTATTTCATGTTCAACAAAATTACAGCATCCGATGTCTGCTTTATGTCTCAAAAAAACATCCGGATTCTATCTAGAACATCCTTGGTGGCTTTGAGCTGTTCGTCTGTTACTTTTCCCTTTAAGAGTTAAATTTCTGGTAAAACTGGTTTATCCATTTCCAATTCCTCTAGTGTGGGTCTTTCTAGAAAATTCGAATAGCTCGAAAGTCCATCGTCCGTCTCTGACTTAAGCGACTTCAGAAGACCTGATGATAATTTTATTTTCTTCAATCTTCTCAAGATACAAATCTTATCCTTATGATTTGGGCAACCATGAACTTCATTTTCTTTCACATTTTCAGTCATTTCATTCCTAGTTTTCACGGGCAGTGCGTACCCCAGCTTCCTCCCCCTCTGGATTGAGATTATTGAACATTGAGATTTTTATATCAAGAGTATTGAACAAGACACTGACGCAGAGGCCACTCTTGGTTATCGAAAAGGATCTTCCTAAAATAGCAGCACTTTCACTTTTTGGGTTCGGTACTATACATACTTGTTTATTGTCACTTAGTTAATTATAATTTTTCATCCAAATCTCACTAGTGCCGCCTCGTTCGCTGTCAGCCTTACCCTCCTACTCAAGAAAACTGGAGCCTTAATTTCATTCGGCATTATCAAATATACCGGTTTAATTACGTACTTCCTTTTTTTTATTCCGGAACATCGCATTGTTAAGATCAATTGTTACATCAAAATTCCTGATGAAACCTCTGCCTAAAATGAATCATCTAGATTCTCCACCACCAGAAAGCTCATCCACTAATTGCGTTCCCCCAGATTTAGGGCTTTTATTGGTGTCCTGTCTAGAACCCGAAGCGCCCCCTTGTTTGCTGCTGACAGTTTTTTTCTTAAGTCAATCAAGTCGTCTTTGTCGAATCCCATTTTTCTCTCTACACTCATTCCATTACACTCAAGACGTCTCCTGTGTCCAACAACCCACACAGTTACGTAATCTTCCCGCTTATGTCCAAAACATGTGCAGATACGTCCGCTTCCGTTCCCAGATGCATGGCACCTTCTTCCAGCATAGCACAGTGCCCAATGGATCTCACTTTTAGTTCTTCTCTGCCAACATAGATTTGCCCGGCCAGATCTTCGTCACATGTTATCATTGTCTTTGTAAAGATGTTTATTCCATCTATGTTCAACATGACCTCATGCGGACCATGTAACCAATTTTTTTTTCTAATAGAGAGACTGAGATTGAATATTCAGTTTATCCAATTAAAATCCGTGAAACTCCAGTGCGACTATATGAGACAGCTCGTACAGCGACTAAACTTGGGAGTCCGGGTAAGATATCTATTGTTTCCTAGTTGCCTGTCAAATTGTCACAAAAGTAAGCAAGTGGTTTCATGAAAAATAATAAACAGTCGTTTTGTCAAATTTACTTGAATTCGTCCAAACTGTACAAAAAAACTGATGAATCCAGTCATGCGTTTTCCCCACTATTCGAGTAGTTTCGATGAAATCCCACAGGCACGTATCCGGTCTATTTTGGATACAGAACGCTGAAGAACTGGCTTATCTTCATCATATCATTTGGCAAACAATTCTAATTAAATTTTGAACAGTTGTTGGCCAAAAACGTAAGGCGAACAGCCTTTGCGAGAGCGGGCCGGTTAAGTACTCGCTTAAAAACGAAAAAAAGAGGTGCAACACGCGCGGACCTCAGTTTGGGCCAGGACTAGGATTGATTGCTCCGAGACAGTGTGGTGACTACAAAATGACTTTTTCCGCCGCCTCTCTTCTCTGCATTATTTTATTCGAGTATCGAATGAGTATAAGAAGGGCGGCTACAATTTTGAGAGTCATCGGCAGCATGTTTTGAATTATATTCTTTCACAGAAAAATCTTCGTGGATAATCGGTTTGAAACTAGAACTGCTCGAGCTTTTTAGTTAGTGGTTGCTACTATTCTATTCTTACCATTGTGATAAACCATAACGATTTTTCTAATGCCTTGCACGTATTCCCAATTTGATTTTGATATCAATCTTTTTCTCTATTGATTTGTTTTTACACAGTTTTAATAAAATCATGAAAGCGCCGTTTGAAGCCAATTCGGAGGAAATGTCTGAACCAGAAAGTCAAAAAGACCTGTTGTAAACAACACAATCATCAATTTCTTACAAGACCTGGACATAAAAAAAACTGTTGGAAGCTGGACTTTTGGAAATCAGAGTTTTTTCTACATAACTTTAGAAGTAATTTTGTTTTTTCGCTGATGGAAGCCAATTTCATGACAAGCCGGTTTTTTTTTGTTTTTTACATTTTTTGTTCTTTCACTAGACAATTGTGTACAGATTTGTTGGTAGAAACCAAAATGTAGGAAAGATCACAAACTATATTCGAGCACTTAACGGTTTTTACGGCTTTCCTGTTAAGGGTGCGCCTTTCGATTCACTAGCTGCCGCACAGTTGATCCTTGCCCGTTAAGGTTACCCTCTGTGCCTTCATTGAATTGACACGGTGCCTTTATAGAACTGCCCGCTGAATCAGATGGACAGATACTAGAGTCCGCCCGCGCCGTAATCTGAAATTGCTCAAAATTGAATTTTGTTAACCATCCTTTTTTCGGTACAAAATAAGAGTCCTTGCACTTAAAAGAGGAATTTTTTTCACAGCCATGTTCAAAACGCGTTTCATGGTATTTGTCGATTTGTCTAGTGTCTCTCTCATTTGGAGAAGTTTTTTTTTTAAAAAAGCCATACACTAATTGGAACCAATTCAAGCAGGTTGATTTCTCCCTCAATCCACTTTTCAAATTGTCAAAGTTTTCTGATATGCAGAGCAAGAGCAGACTTCAGCAATTTCAGTTTTTTTACTTGTTTGATTAATGCAGAATGGTAATTTTTGAGCCACAATTTGAGTAAAATTATGGCAAAAAAACGTCCCGTGCTGGAAGGTTGATTTCTGGTGTTTACGACGAACCATTGAATGAAATTTTATCCTAATCACAGCCAATATTGGCAAGACAGTTCCAGATGATTGGTTTGCTCATACAACCTACTCATGGATATTTTAAAATATTTCGAGGGAAACATAAGTGTACCAGCTCTTTATATCAAGAAACTATACCCTTATCTTCAAAACATCTCTAGCCATTTGACTGTTCGTTTCTAATTCTTTTTAAAATGTTTTTCAAAAGTTTTGTTCAGATAGTCATACGAGCTATCACTTTTTTGTCATTTAGCTGATCCCTTCAGCTTTGCCGAATGCCCTATTCTCTCATCGTGGATAATAACATAGTATACTGCGACTTACTAACCACTTGAATTTTTGCTTGTATCGATTTCGTTTCTATTTTTTGGATCGTTATGATTCTTCAGACTTTTTGCTCACTATTTTTTTCTGACCTAAATAAGTCTTTTCGCAAACTTTTCTTATGCCTCCTTTTTGATCTCACAAAAACGACACCTCATCGCACGGCAAATCCAACAGGTTTTTTTTTCAAATACGTTCTGACCCTTTTGATTTCTTTGTTAGAGGGTTGCCATCTGTTTGACAATTTAAGCATAATTATTTCCAGTTGCTTTAACCCGCATATTTTTTCCCAGTGTGTTCTTTTAAACTTGTTTCGATGTTCACTGAAACTGTCTTGTACCGGATGTTTTCGTCCAAACTATAACCATCCATTCGCTAACTGCGGCAAAGTCCGTTTTTCCACGTTTTTGACTCACGTTAGGCTAGAAATTTTAATGGTAGTTCCTCTCTCTCTTCAAATTTTCATAAGTTCGTTCTTGTTTCGGCTCATCAGCTTTTGATGCTCTTGCTTAAAAGTTGAGATAGATATTTACTGATGCCACCATTTTTCAGGAAAAGCCCTTCTTTCTACCTCCATTGCTTTAGCTAGGTTACGTGATGCCTTACTACGATCCTCAATTGCCTGCAGTAAATCGGATCTCAAGAGTTTTGATTAAAAAAACTGTAAATCTTTTGATTCAAAAAAGCTGGTCTTTATCCAAATTCCAATAACACCAACAAAACCTTTTACTCATTAGTCGTTCATCTTTACCTAAAGTTCCATAGCTAATGCATCCGCTCTACGCGTCTCTGGACTGCAATGCTCATGCCGTGGCTTTGCACTTTGTACCCCTAAGAAAATGTCTCTCCGAAAAACTCGATGAGCTTACAAAACACGTAGTTACCTGAGTTTAACCTCGCTGAATATTTGCGGCTAGAGCTACTCTCTAAGGACGGTGTGGATCTGTCTCTGCTTGTTGTAATAAGATTACTCC